GCTGCACTCCTATTTCATCGAGCAACTGGACAGTCAATATTTGCTTTAGAGGCAGGATATGTACCTGGAATTACAAGGAGATAGAAGGAGAGGATCAGCAGCAGTCAAACGAGCAAGCAACAGCTAGAAATGACTTCCAAATGCCCAGGACACAATAGCAAAACTAGTCTATGGAAGCACAACACCAACACTCAACCAAACAAACTTGAATGGCCCAAATCTACTTGAAATTGAATCTTGCAACCCCAGAAAACCTTCAGCAATTTGGATGCACCCAAAATAACTTAAGTAAAACCCCAAATGACTTGCAATTGAGTCCAAACCACTAACAATTCAAAGTAACCAGCTGAAACTTCAATGTAATAGTATATTTTGGATTTTCTACTGTAATTGTATTTGTTTTTGTTTTTGGATTTTTTTTCCTGATTTTTCTAAGATCTGGATTTGAATTTCAAAATTTTCAGAGTTTTTGAATCTCTAATGCTTCTAGAAACCTGTAGGAATTTTACAGATTTCAAAACTTGTATTGTAAGGCAAGGCAATGCCCTTTTATAGGCAAAATTAGGGCTGCCTTTAGATTTTCACTTTACCCTAAGTCCCTCTTTTGTTTTCAGTTTTGCTTAATTAGTCCCTAAGTTTTGACTTGTTTCTCAAGTCACTGCACTAACACTACCGAAATTTACATCAAGGCCCTACTCTAGAAGATTCTAGGGTGTTCTAGTTTCAACTAGAGCAATATTTTCTATGTGGGAATACCTATACTACCCTTATTTTATTCTAAGATTACTGAATTGTACTAAACCCCAGCCCCTTTTACCCAATCAAAATTATTTGAGGGATTAGAATTATCAGCTATAACCAAGTAAGCTAATAGATACCAACTAACGTCAACCATACTGATTAACTCAACTATTGAAATAGAAATTGGAATCAATGAAACAAAAATCATATATCAAAATAGATTCGAGACAGAATTAAACTAACATCAAACTAAAAAAATCAAAAATGAAAACTCATGGAATCAAGCATAATCAAAGAAATAATCAAACTAGACAAGGAAAATTTATTGATTCATGAATTAAAACTAACCTAATATGAACAAACAATAAGAACAGGATCAACCTATGCAAATTAGTCATGAACAAAAAATAACAAATAGGCTGATTGAGCAAGAACAAAGAAAAATAAAAATAACAGTCACTCAAAAGAAAAATAGAAAAGGAAAAACTAAAGGAAATACCTAGATTTGAAACTGGAAAGAAAACCTAGCCATCTTCTTGGAATCATCTGGACCAAAACGTCCTCAATCGTGTGTTTCCATGAAGAAACACAAGATTAAGGACTATTATAGTCCAATAATCAACGACTCCGAACTTTTAGGAACTAGGGTTTTTGGGTCAAACTTCGATCTGAAACTCGAGGAGGTCCAGGGATATTCGAGAAAAATTGATTAGGGGTTTAGGAAGAGGAGAGCGAGGAGAGCTTAGGGTGTTATTTTGGTAAGATTTGGATGAGTTGGTGTTTTGGTCCAAGTTTCGATTTGATATTCGGAGACATTGGCTTGGATTTGAAGGAAAGTAAGGTTGGATTTGGCATGTGGAGGCGACAAGGAGCACAGGGTGTATTTTTGGGGCTCATCAGAAAATCGCCGCCGGCGGAGGCGATTTCCGGCCGACGGCGGACGGACGGAGGGACGGCGGCGTCGGAGTCTCTATGTTAGGGTATGAGAGAGACGAAGGGTAGGGGGTCTGAGGGGGGGTGGTAACGTTCGGACATTTAAATATTAATCAAGGTGGGCTTCAGGACCGTCCGATCAAGCAACCTCGACGGTCCTGATTAAATCCCACCAAAACGACGTCGTTTAGGTGGGAAAGGGGTTTGGACCGGGTAGGATTTTGGGTTTGGGCTGGATTGAGACCGGGTTTGGGGTTTGGCTTGGGTTCTGATGTGGGCTGCTATTAAAATGGCCCAAAACTTGGGTATTTTATTAAGCCTATTATTTTCCTTTAATTTTCTCTTCTTCTTTTTTTTTTTTTATTCATTTTTTCTGATTTTTTGTAAAAAATACAAAATTAATTAAAAGACCTGATTTAACTCTAAAATTAAACTAATTAAATTTCAAAAAATAACTAAATCCTAATTTAAGAGAAAATTAAGCAAAAATCAAAATTAAAAGTAAAAAATGTAAAAAAGGGACTATTTTTGGTTATGATCTTCCATTTTCTTGTAATGTTAATTAACTAGCAAACCTAAAAATATAAAAAAGGAGGCCCAAATGCAAATGTGCTATTTTTTTGTATTTTTTATGAATTATATCAAGTAAAATGCACACAAAATGCAAATAAACACAAAATCGTGCAATTAGATTCTAAAAATCAAATAGTAAAGAAAAATCCTAATTCTAAGGAATTTTGTAGGAGTAATTTAAGCGTGGCAAAAATCACGTGCTCACAACTTTGATCTTCATCATATTTAAAAGCAATAATACGTTTTTGCATACAAAAATTATCATCTATCCAGTGGCATGTAACAGTCAAATAATCATTTCCATTTACAGCACGACCAATATCAGAAGTAAGAGAAACTTTACAAGGAAGACTTGCGAACAAATAACGTATATATGTCTGATATTGTCCAAAAAGCCTAAAGATATCAGCTCTACAAGTACTTCTAGGAATACCTTTAAACATAGGGTTATAAATTCTTTGAATATAAGTAACAAGATACGGTGAAGAAGCAAAACTGAAAGGTAAACAACCTAAAACAATCATTTTAGCTAATTCTTCCCGATCTTTCTTAATATTGTATTTACCAAATAACCTCCCAGTACTCGGGTTAAGTTTTTGTTTCCAGATGCCTCATCTACTCCCCAATCAAGAGGGTGTTTCTCTTCCATATGCCTACGAAGTTGACCCGTTCCCCCTCCCTTACCGGGCTCATGTTTATAATGTTCACTACAAATTTTACATTTTACATAATTTTTTTGATCTTCTAGTCTTTCAAAAAACATCCAACACTTACTTCTTAATCGTCGATTCTTCTTAATAGGGAGAGGAGGCCTACTTGTTCCACCCCTAACATTTTGAGTTTGACTAGAATTACCAGGTGTAGGTAGTGGTGTTTCAAAATTATCGGGTGATTGAATATCATCTAAATCATCATCTATACCAAAATTTTCTTGCATTCGCTCATAATCTACATTTAAATTTTCAGGTGAACTTTCAGAAATATGTGTAAAGCTACTAGAAGAACCAACACCACCTCTTTATCTTTTGGAAGTTTTCTTACTACCACCTCTACTAGTGCACGCTTTTTTGGCCGCTCTAAGTAATTAAATTAATAATTCTAAATAATAAAATAAGTGTACACCAAATAAGAGAAAGAGATGGAACGAGTGTACCGGAATTCCGGATGCCGCACTAATTTTGAATTTTTGATATCAAAAATCAAACTTCAATTGATAGACCGAAACTTGATAGTTGATACTTGATACTTGATAGTTGATACCACACTTTACTTGAATACTTGATATTTGATAATAATAATTTTATAATGGCTAAACTAAATAATTGATGAAACTTGAAATAATAAATAATCGAGAATTTGAGATTTGAGAATTTAAGAACTATAATATCAAGAGAGAATTGAGACTTGAGAGAGAATTAGAGTAGTAAGAGAGTGAATTGTGAGAAAAAATGAAGAAGAAGGGGGGCTATTTATAGATTTTAAAAGGTTAAAAATGTAAATTTTCAGTTATTAGCGGTGGGAGGGCTATATTTTTAACGGGGGAGGCCGAAATGGCCATTTTTGCAAAATCTGGCCGTTCCCCAACGATCATTTCTCAATTTGACCGTTGGCAATGGTCCAATTAATTTTAAAAAAAATCAGCAACGGTAACCGGGCTCCCAACGAGCTGCATCCCGTTAACAACCCGTTAACGGTTCACGGGCTACGCGGGTTCGGTGCACCATTAAGCAGAACGTGTTCGTCCAAAACCCGCCCCCAATCAACCCGTCCCAGCCCGCACAATAAGGAACAGTACCGGGCTGAACCGGGTTGAAGCGGTTTGAAAACGGGTCAGCCCGGCCCGATTAACACCTATAATGTTGAGTGTAGAAACGGTATACAAAATATCTACAATTTACATAATTATATATAAGTTGTATATAAATTGTAGGTAAATTATAGTTTTTGACAAGATTCTGTACAAAAAATATGTATTTAAGCTGTAGATACATTGTAGGTTTGACCGGATTTGTATATATTTTGTAAAAAACATTTATCACTTCCTGTAAATATAAAAACTTAGATAAAACTGGGTAAATAAGTTTAAAATCTTGTACATATACGCAAAAGTCCCTTTAATTTGAATGAATTCCCAACTCCAAATTGGGTAAATTTTAAAAATAGCCAGTTTTACAACTGGTCGTTCAAAAATAGCCCAATTTCAAAAGTAATCGAAATTTAGCCACTTTTTATATAAAGATAAATTTGAGCAAAAACACTGTTCAAAACCCGGAAAATACTCCAGTATATTATGCTGGAGTTCTAGTGTACTTATGCTGGAACTCCAACATATTATACTGGAGTTCCAGAATAAGTATGCTGGAACTCCAGCATAATATGATGGAGTTCCAGCATAAGTACACTAGAACTCAAGCATAATATACTGGAGTTCCAGCAAGTATATTGGTCTAGTATAATATACTGGAGTTTGGAGCACCGGTGCTCCAGTCTCCAGTATATTATATACTGGAGCCAGCAAAGTATAACGGTCCAGCATAATATGCTGGAGTTCATACACAAGTGCACCGAACTCCAGTATATTATGCTGGACCGGTCTCTATTGCAGCAAAATAGTAGCTATTTTTCATTGACTTGGTAAACGCTGGCTATTTTTGATTGACCAGTCCGAAAACTGGCTACACCGTGCTATTTTTACCTCCAAATCCATATTGCTATTGGCCCATAAAACCTGTTCTGGACAATTCGCACCGGTTTAAAAGATCCGAGCCGAATTTGCCCGTAACCTTTTTCTGCAATTGCTTCTCTGTATAGACGACGAAGAGGGCCTCCGCAGCACAAAGAAGAAACTTCTAGAAACTGAAAAGAAACAAATTCAATGGCGTCAATTGATGCCTCTGAAAATCATCTTCCTCAACAGTATATCACGGGTTAGTTATAATTTTGAATTATAAATTGCAATTGTAGATATTGCTCTTCTGTTCATTAATAGTTCTCTTTTTTCCTATTCAAATTTTCGAAAATTATTGCTTTTTTCTTAAAAAGGGTTATTAAATAAAAGCTACAAATATTGGAAGTACGAACGTAGGTGGAAATATTGGTGAAGATTATGTTTAATATTACTATGTCGTCATAGTGACATAGGCAAGAGGATCAAGTATAGGCATTCCTTTTAGGTTTTAGAATTTCTTTTTAATTCGGTGGATAATGCGCCCACGTCTCAGAGGCGGAGCTAGAATTTTAGAACGACTTCAAGTGCTAATTCAAGTGCTAATGACAGGGTTCTAATGTTAATATTTGTACATATTTGATAAATTTCTTTATATAAATACATTGTTCGAACAAAAGCTATTCGGTCGAACCCGTAGCCCCTGGGCCCTCTATCTTTCTCCACTACTATAGCTTTAAGCTACTGTTGATGCAGGAAGAAAACCATTATAAATAGGTATCTCTACGAGTAAGAATGAGTATATGATTAACTCAAATACATTGACCCGACAAGAGTTGACCATGCAGGGGAAGTGACTAATGAGGGGGTACCTTAGTTTATGCCAGGTTGAAAGCTTACTTTTACTTTAACTTGAGTTTCTCTCATTGAATTCAGTAATATATTAATTCACATAATATCTTGAATGATTGAGAAGAAGAAAAAGTTGTCACACAATCACTTGAAAGATTTTTTTCTTTGGGGTCCAACTAGTAGTAATTTCTATTAGGTTTTACATTTTATCTTTCCATACTGTGGTGTCCTTGTAATATGAGACTTTTATCTGTAAAGTTTGAACCTGTGACTTGCGCCTAATTCACACATCACAGTTTCTTAGTTCCTTTAAGGTTTTACAATCTTTAACTTTTTATAACCGGAAATTCCCGAGGCTAGTGACGCATGTTTGAAACTTGGTGGATAATGGGCCTGCCCCTCTACTTTCTGCAGTTAAATACCAGACTTTTGACTGCTACAGGGTTTGAACACGTTACGTGCGCCTAACTCACACATCGCAAGCTGGCTCTTACCACTGTCCCGCTTGGGGGCTTTTCTTAGGTTTTACAATCTCATGTGACTTATGTTTCAATATTTTCAAGTACTGAGTTTGCAAAGCAGTTGTTAATTTTTTTCAAGATGTCTTTTTGTTTTTGGCTGATGTTGCAACAAAAGTTACTTTACTTTTATTAAGACTTCCAAACACAGTTTTTCGAATCTTTCAAAAATTTAGAAACTAGTTTTTGAGTTTTCATGATATACTGGTTTCATGCTGCCTCTCCTTTTTTGGTGGGTGGGGGTGGGTGGGTGGGTTCTTGGTGGTGAGGATGCATTATATTTGGATTCTGGAAATATGCATACTAGGTACTTCATAGCCATAGGTAAAGAAGGAGAAGTTTGATTGTTACCTTAAAAAAAAGGTGAAGTTTGATTTTGGATTTCTGTTGTAGGTGAAGGCAACAGTAGTTGGTATACAACTTCTGGAATGAGCACTGGATTGGGCTGGTATGTGCTTGCACAAGACCAACAGCAGCTAGGCCCATATACGATACCTGAGTTGCGTGGTGAGTTTCTAAACTTCCGCTGTTCAATGAGTAGATGTAAAACATTTTACATTGCTCTCCTTGAATGACTTTTGATCGAGATGGACTGTAGTTTTCTTTGTTTAAATTGGAGGAATTCGTCTTTGATAGCTTTCTTCTTTTGTATAGGTGTTCATTGAGTTCTGAATGCCTTATGCCTCTCCTTTTTTGCTGTCTTTGTTGCTTTAAAAGTTTCAGTTGTAAACTATCAGCCTTTATCTTGAACAATTGTATTCATCTGTAGATAGTCTTAGGAGATTTCTAAGCTTGTTTACTTGACATCAACAGAGCACTACTCTGCTGGATACCTACTGGAGAATACACTTGTATGGTCAGAAGGAAGGAGTGATTGGCAACCACTTTGCTCGATTCCTGGATTGCTAACTGATGTACCTGAGCAGAGCACTGATGGTACAAATTCAGGTGAAGGATTTGGTCGCTTAAGAAATGAACATGCAGAAATGTAATAACTTAATACTATGTCGCATTTGGCTGAAACACCTGTTACTTGTTTTCTGCAGTTCCTTTGACTTCTAATGATCAATTGGATGAGTATGAAATGTTTCAAAAGGAAGTGAAAGAAGCGGAGGATGAGCAAGCAGTTGATGAGGAACAAAGGCCTTCAACTCCTCCAGATGGTGAAGAGGAGTTCACTGATGATGATGGAACTAGGTACAAGTGGGATAAAGCTCTTAAAGTTTGGGTACCTCAGGTAGTATATTACTTCTAGGCCTGTCTTCTTTGTTCCTTTGCTCCTCAGAAATTTAACTTTGTAACATAAAACAAGTTTGTGATCACATCTAAAGCATAAGCTTTTTTTTTTTGTTAATCTGATAATTATTGCTTGATGTTGCATTGCTATTATTGTTCTTTATCAATTCGTTCCAAAAAAGGAAGAAAGAGAACATCTTGTGACTTGTACTTCTGTACCTTTTCTCTGTTGTGCTTTGAAAGCTGTCTTGATAAAATGAGGTTCTATAGGAAGATCCAGCCGAGAAAAATGAGTATGGTCTAGAAGATATGACTTACGCTGAAGAAGAGGAACTTTTCCCAACTTTGCCTGCTGACGATTCTTCTGGAAATGAGAACAAGAACATGGATAACATTGAAGCTGATACGACTGCTGGAGATTCAACTGAAACCACTGCGGTGACACATAATGGCAAGAGAAAACTGCCTGAAACAGATGATTCTGAAAAGAAGGTTACTCACTCTGTAACTTTTATTTTTCTCCAGGTCAAACGTTACTTTGGCTTTTTGTGTCTTGGTTGTCTGGATTCAGGTCTCATTTGCTGTCTTCTTCTTTTGGGATAAAAAGATTGTAAACTATAATTGATTGCTTTTTCCTCTGAGAAGAGCAGGCATTATTCCATGTGCATTCTCTTTTTTTTTTTAAATACATATCATTCACACCTTTCTTTTCTACTGCCTGTGCAGGAAGCGAATAAACCTCCAGATAGCTGGTTCGAATTAAAAGTCAATACTCATGTCTATATTACAGGATTGCCAGAAGATGTCACTCTTGACGAGGTAGTTAGCAATTTTGTTACTTATCACCTAACTGAAGGAGTCCTTTCGTTTGTTCCTGTATATCTCTGAGCAGTGCAGCATCCTTGGCTTCTTTATTATGCTACACTAATGTTGAGATCATTGCAGGTGGTTGAAGTCTTTTCAAAGTGCGGGATCATAAAGGAGGTGCGAAACTTCTGTTTTTACCTTATATATTCAAAAAAATTTGATTCTGAAGATTGTTGTGGCCACATCTAGTCTATCGAGGTCATTTTAAATTATTTTCTGCTTAGGATATTACCTGTATTTTGGCAAAAGATGCATTGTAGGTTGTTTTCTTTTGTTACTTTGGGCTTCACTTTCACTAGCCTAGAGACTCATTATGAATATGCAAATGAAGATTGTCTCATGATTGGTGATCAAACAATTCTCATTAACTAACTTATGGGCATGCTCTCAAGGCCTAAAGACACCACAGAGTAACTTAATACGTCCCCAACTGATAACCCTACAGAGTAACTTAATACGTCCCCAACTGATAACCCTGATATTTAGATGCTGAATTCCTTTTAAACTTATTTCTCTTCCTTGGTTAGTTTGTTTTGCTTGGCTCACTTGACTGCTGTTTTTCTCCATAGACTATTTTAGTTATTGACATATTATATGTATTAAATGGATCTGAATCCGTCTTATATGCACCATTATGGTGATTGTTGCACTGCATGACTTAAAGGAAAAGGCAATCTTCCTCAATAAGTTTATTTGGAGCTTTTTGGTTGTCAAATTGATCTTTTGACATTGGTTACAAGGTATTCAAAGTTTTGGCGCTACATAACGGTATAGAATTGTTATGATGATCTATTATAAAAATTATAGGATCCAGAAACACAAAAGCCTCGAGTGAAGATTTATTTTGACAAAGAAACTGGAAGGAAGAAGGGCGATGCACTTGTTACATACCTTAAGGTAATGGTTCCTTTCTAAAGTACAAACCATGACTTTTGGAGTTCTTTATTGTAATTGTTATCCATGTTTTTTATCTTTACTGGGTAACCTTTGTGCATTAGGAACCTTCAGTTGATCTAGCCATTAAAATTTTGGATGGCGCACCTTTACGCCCAGGTGACAAAATCCCTATGACAGTTACACAAGCAAAGTTTGAGCAAAAAGGTAAATAGTCAGATGTTCTTTTGGTGCATTGCAAATTGTACTTGGTAATTAGTCTTGCTATTACATTAACCAAATAAAGCATCGGTCATCTTTGTATTTATAGTAACTTGAATGCCTTATTGTTTCCTTTGGATAAACTTTTATTGACTTCGCAGGGGAAAGGTTCATACCCAAGAACGTGGACAAGAAGAAGAAGAAGAAACTCCAAAAAGTTGAGCATAAGATGCTTGGCTGGGGTATGTCTTTTACCTGTCTTTTATTTATAAGCTGGTCTTATGCCACAATATTACCTTTCCAGGTTACTTTTGATTCAAAGAACGGTTTGGTTATCAAGATCCTGAAATGCTCTTTTATTTATATGTTTGCATTACTGTTGCTGCAGTTTTCATATCTGTGTAAATGAATCTTCTTTCCGTTTCAGTTTGCTCTGTGTGAGTTTTGGTTGTGATAAGTTTGGAATAAGTTAGCGACTGAAACCAGCATTTCAGTTTTGCAGCAGCTGAACTGACATAATCATTTCTTATTTCTTAATTGGTTACACATATTGTTATCCAAAGCATCCATCATAACCTGTTTGGTTATAGTCCTGAATCAGTCCGTAAGTTTTTTAATTTGAATTGTGTTGTGGCTCTTCTTGGATAGCGAACATGTTATTATCAGTTTGCTGCAGTAGCATCCTGTTTTATTTCTCTGTTGCATCTTAACTTGCCACTGGTTGCTCAATTAGCCTCTGGAAAGTGCATGATAGACTTACATAATCAGCACCCTTGTCTTCTCATTCTAGGTCATTGATTCCTCCTATTTATACACCCTTAGCCCGAAATTTCCAGCCACCGAGTTCTATCACACATGCACCCTGACAAACTCCTTCCCGGATTAATCTTACATAATCAGCACCCTTGTCTTCTCATTCTAGGTCATTGTCTCCTCCTATCTCTACACCCTTAGCCTGAAATTTCCAGCCACCGAGTTTTATCGCACATGCACCCTGACAAACTCCTTCCCAGATTAATGCCTTTCCTGCTCTTCATGTTTGTCCTTACATGCAGAGACAGTAAATCTGCACCATCAAGCAACCCCCTTATTTATTTCATTCGTCTTCAAATTCAGCTTCTCTCCTTCATCCTTGCGAGGTGCACTATCTGCCGGACCTCGCTCCATTCAGAAGATGAATAGTCATGAATTCATGATCTTATGTTTTTGAGCTAATTCAAGCTTAAAGGTAAAAGAACAAAAAATGTAAAGAGAGAAGGATCAGTTCTTGGACAAGGTGGGAGTGGCATCAGTGGAAGCCAAGTTGCGGGAATCGAGGCTGCAATTGTTTGGGCATGTGAGAAGGAGAGACATAGATGCCCCGGTTAAGAGGTGTGAGAGGTTGACCCATGGCGGGCTTGAGAAAGGGCAGGGGTAGGCCAAAGAAGTATTGGGGAGAGCAGTGTTATTAAAAGCGCACGCTTCTCGCTTAAAGCGCAGAAGCGAGGCGAGGCGACTGACCTGCGCTTTTCTGCCCTAAAGCGCGACTCACATGAATAAGCGCACGCTTTTCCCTAAAAAGCGAGAAGCGAGGCGATGAAAAAAGCGCAGAAAAGCTCGCTTAAGCGAGGTCCAGACATCTGCTAGTTTTTTTTTTTAAAAGTTGCAAATACACTTACGCACAATAATTCCAGACATCTGCTTCTCGGCTGCAAGCGACGACTACACTGTTCGAATAAGTTTCTCTTCTTCTCTTCTTCTCTTTCTTCTTCTTCAGTTCTTTCTTCTCTTCTCTTCCTCTTCTGATTTTCTTCAGTTCACTGTTCGACTCCTTTTTCTCTTCTTCTTTCTATTTTTTTCAGTTTTTATTGCTCTGTTCTGCCCTAATTTATGCTCTGTTTTTTCTGTGTGCTCTGTTTTTTTGTTATTTTCTGCCCTAATTTGGAGATCTTGTTGAAGAATAGGATGTTGCTCCTTTTGTGATTTTGTTTTGCATTTGCTTAATATGTTATGACTTTTGAGGATTATTGACTATCTAGTTTTAGTATCTGTTATTTATTTCTTGATTTAAGAATTGAAACATTTGCTTAATATGTTATTTTTATTGAGTTCTTGGTCATTTATCTATGCCTATTTAATTTTTTTTTATGCGTTAAATTGCGCTTCACATGAAAAAAGCGTGTGCTTCGCTTCGCGCTTCTCGCTTTGGTGAAGCGAGGCCTCCTCGTTTTTTCCGCTTCTCGCTCTCCAAAACACTGGGGGAGAGGTGATTAGACAGGACATGCCGGCGCTTCATCTAACCGAGGACATGACTAGCGATAGGAAGGTGTGGAGGTCGAGGATTAAGGTGGTGGGTTGACAGGTAGTTTTGAAATTGTTGCTCCTTGATTATTATTATTTGATGCTACTACTCTTTCTCCCTTTTACTGGAAATTGTTGCTCCCTATGCTACTTTTTCTTCTCTTTTCCTTATCGTCTTTTGTCTCCCTCATATGTCTTTTCTCCCCCCTTTCTTCTTCTTGTTCTTCTTCTTCTTCCCTTTTCTTCCCTTTTATTCCTTCTCTTGAGCTGATGGTCTATCGGAAACAGCCTCTCTACCTCCCAGGTAGGGGTAAGATCTGCGTACACATTAACCTCCCCAGACCCCACTTGTGGGAATATACTGGGTATGTTGTTGTTGTTGTTGTTGTAGAAGGATCAACTCTTGCCTTTACATCTGTATTTGTATATCAAAAGATAGGTATAGAGCATCTTCTATCAGCTTATACAAAGTAATCTTCTTTGCTGAGTGGGTGGGGGTGCCGATGGCGGTTATGGGAACAATTAGACACTGGCTTTGGAGTTAAAGATCATTGAGCTTTCAAGTCCGCTTCTTATTTGTGCCTAGAATTTTTTCGAGTATGGAAAATGACAAGTTGTCTCTTGAGACATATCAAAGTGTAGGCAGAATGAAGCTGGTGGCGTAGTGAATTTCGAAAAAATATACTGTGAAGAAATGGACTTTGGTACTCAACCCCGAAAGCTAGCTCAAAAGGTGAAGATTGTCCAAGACCATACAAGGAGACCATAACTTGTATCCTCCACCAATGTGGGACAGTTAACACCGCCCCTCACACAAAAAACTGGGCATATGGAGTGTGGACAACATAACATGGTGGATAAACCAAGAATAGTAATGAGTTTGGCTCTGATACCATGTGAAGAAATGGACCTTGGGCCTAAATCCCAAAAGCTAGCTCAAGAGGTGAGGATTGCCTAGGACTATACAAGGAGACAACAACACATTTCCTCCACCAATGTGGGACACTTAACATTTACTGATCTTCTTGGTTGCTTCTCAGTTATTATTGATTCTTTCTTCTATCTCGAATTTGAAACTCGGTTTATGCTAAGATATTATCAGTTAATGCAATTTATGGCTACAACATATATTTTCCTTTTTCCTTGTTCCCTCTTAATTTTCTTTATTACTGGCGGTTATTCAGGTGGTCGGGATGACGCAAAGATATTGGTTCCAGCTACTGTTTTGCTTCGCTACATGTTCACACCAGCTGAATTGCGGGTAATGTTTCTATGTGGATACTCATTTTCTGTAACATTTCAATTTCGGTCTGACTGGAACAGTAAATTGTACTCAAAGTGTTAACAAATGAATTGCAGTTGCCAAATTGCCATACCTTTGTAAACTGTTGGCATAGCAATGCTGATACTGGCAAATATAACATAGTAATAAGAAGTTGCAGCATATATTAATTACTATGAAGTGGAGGCAGTTACTCTGAAGTTCCAGTTATTTTGTTCAGGAAGCTGTCTTGCTACTGTTTTTACCAACATTTAGTTTTTTCTAGTTTTGTTACTAGTTGAATCCTTGAGTGTGAGATTTACCTATTAGTTATTGTTTTTGATCCGCCATTCAGCTAATGCACTTCAAATCTTGTCAATAGGAGGATGAGAATTTATGCTCCGAGCTACAGCAGGACGTCCAAGAAGAGTGTTCAAAGTTTGGCCCAGTGGACTTAGTAAAGGTATTGCCTGTTCTGATAAAATCCATTACTCACGGTTTCTGGATTTTATAATATTGCTTATTTATGTTGTGATATATAAGCTATGCTCTACTAAGAGATGAGTTATTGATGTGATTTTGTCGACCAATATAGGGTGATATGTGCACCTTCTGAGTTTATTGTATTTCTAAATTATGTGGTTCTGTGCGAAGCTGTTTTGCTCTTTTCACCTGTCGGTAAAGTAGGAATTCTGGGCCTTCAAGATTATAAGTACCTTTTATAATCTTAGAACAACAATTTGCAGTAAAGATCAGAATCGAAATGCTCGACTGTTCCATAAATTTACCAGGTTTGGTTGCTTGCTTCTTGTTGCACTTCTACATTTGCGCAGTTGATTGAAGGTGGGCCTTGATGCTTCCTTGCATCTAGTACCCTCTACATAAGCAACTACTATGCTCCGAAGGAATAGTTACAGTGCATTGCCTGCTTGTTAATTATGTTAAATTGGAATCTTTGTCAATGGACATATGCGTTTTAAGTCCAGCTTAAGCTTCAGTTCTCCGAATAGCACATAAATAAGCACAACTGATTATTCTAAGCAGCTACTCAATGTAGAAATTGTCTGGTTGTACATCTGTTCTTTTTCTGCTGATGTCGGGGACTTCTTCTATGGTCATATTGCGCTATTTATACTGGAGATTTTTTGAGCGGTTATCCTGCTTCGACACACCCGTTTCGAGTGGATACAAATTGTTTATTTCCGCATGTAGTTCTTTTTACTGCCAGTTTGGATTGACAGAGACTTTCTTCCCCTTTGTGGCATGTGGAACTCAAGGAGTTGAGGTATTTTATGTGGAGTGGTTTTCCTGTTTCCCTACTCCTATCCTAAGAGTAGGAGCGAGGAAAGTTCAAATAAATTATTTACCAGAGTTAGACAAACAAATATTTAAGTAATCATTTGAAATATGAGAAAATCATGGTTAGTTTACCACATAAAGATTAAGATCATAAAAACTAGTAAAAAATTGGTTACTCGCAAAGTTTGCGTTTTAGGGAAAGGAGTAAAAAAAATAGGATAGAAAATGATATATGTCTAACTAATGGATTGAAAAAGATATTGCAGTAGGATTCCGGTGGTTTTATCGCATTCATTGGCTTGCTTTTGCAGGTGTGCGAAAATCATCCACAAGGGGTTGTTTTGGTCAAATTTAAGGATAGAAGGGATGCACATAGGTGCATTGAGGCGATGAATGGACGCTGGTAAGTGATTGCATCTGAAACTTTTGTTCTCTCATGCAGACTGTATTGTAGTTCTTTAGCCGAGTCTTATTGTTCCTTCTATTCGATTTATATGACACACTTCCCTTTTTAGTTTATTCCCAAACCTTTCTATATTTTGGAACTCTTTAATTTGAAGTTTATTGCGCTTAGTGATATATGCTCTTACAGCCACAAAAATGTCATGGGCATGTTTAAGACCACAAGTTCCAGTTGTACTTTTGGTGTGTACAGAGTCTTTCTTTCTTTCTTAAACTCTTCGCCAAATACACAACCATATAAAATGAAAGATGGAGTATAAACAAGCATGTAATATTGTTTATCTCGTGAAGTTGCTTTTCTGTATAGACAGCAGAGTGATCAGCACCTCTGAGAGCTTGAACTTTGTTCCATTATTGTCCTTGTTTTTGTTTCCCTTATCTGATTTATATTCCTTTATTGTAACAGGTTTGCTGGTCGGCAAATCCATGCTAGTGAGGATGATGGATCTGTTAACCATGCTTTAGTCCGAGATATAGATGAAGAAACTGATAGATTAGAGAAGTTTGGAGCTGAACTCGAAGCTGATTCATAGATGTGCTTCTCCATGTGGAAATAGTAGCAACATTTATTTTTGCTTGCTGTACAATCCATGTCTCTATGCACTCTTTGAATAGGAATTCGTTCTGAAGGATCCTGGCTTTTGTATTTTAGCGGGTCTCCGAGATCTTGTAAAAAGATTTTCATAGATGTGATAGGAGCTGAGCTCGCGGCATGCCAACTATATTTGTAATTGCAAGTAATGGGTTATCTCCTAGTTTTCTCTGGAGTACATGTGACATGATCAATTGAAATGAGAGTAGAAATTTCTCTAGTGCTTGACTTTTGTTTTCAGAATATGACTTGCTCTGTAATTATTGTAGCTGCAAAAATTTGTTTGCCGATCGCTCTTCTCTGTTTTTGTCGCTGAAATTCCTTGTAGTTGTCGATTCTCTTTGTTCTCTCATTCCTCTCACCAATATCAAAACTGGACTTGTCTGGTATACTTTTGCAAAGAAATGTACTACTGCTATGTTTAAATTGTGGAATGGCAGGGTACTTGAAGTTGCATGCTTATTTAGGGCTTGTTTGGTATGCGGGATAACGTGTCATAAGGTAAGGATTATACCATCAACCAAACATGATATAAATTTAATTCCAGACTTGAGATATCCCACCTTATCTCATCAAACTAGGGATTATTTTATCCCACCTTAGTCCAAGGATTATAATCTTTGGATAATTTAGTTTGCGTACCAAACGACTTTCACAGCACAACCTGTGTATGGGCAGGAGGATCTTGTGGATCACTTTCTTTGTTTGGCTATATGTATCCGGCATTCGAAATTAGTTTGCTTCACTAATTCGAATTTGCGCCGTGTAAATTCATTTTTAGTGAAAATGTTACCTACAAAGAGTTTATTCGTTCTCGTGGTTCGAACTTGACGTTTCTATTTTAAGGTAAAGTGATTTAATTCATTCTACCCCTCCTGTTAGTATGTGTTAAGGTATTGCTTTTAGCCAAGTGATAACATAAAGACCATAAATTTTCATCTTATATGGTATTTTATCCTTTCTAATCAAACTCCAAAAGTAATGAATATTGAATATTTTAACTTTTGAAAATGATTTCCCGTTGCTCCTCATCAGCTTAGCTGTAACACCTCAATCATTTTTTGTTTTTATATTCTCTTTCCCACACAACGGTCATATTCCCATCAAAGTCACAAATATGAACGTTACACC